TATCACATTGGATAACTGAAATTAGGAATACAAAAGGAAAGAAATGGATAGAACTGTAAAACAAGTTGTCCGTATAATTTGCTTGTGGTAGACTCAGATCCTTAGTGTCTCCTTTTTATCATAAAGAAAAAGTTGGGAATGTTTATAATCCTTATTTTAGAAGGACAATTTACCTTTTTTTGATAAGTAGTGAGAAAAAAATCCCTGATTTGATCATTTCAGGTTTAAGGATTCATTACATTTTTTCCCCTATTGATCATTTAAAGTATTTTTGTTTTTGAACCTTCACACTAACTTGTAATATATGTTTGTGAACAATCATATATTGTATAGTGATTGTGTGACACACCTTTCTGGGTTTATTGACTTTATTAGGCGTCCTCTTGCTCCAAAAGGATGATACAGCCCAGGACACATCGATGTCCCTCCCAGTGCTCCATCTACTGTTTAGTGGTAACTTTGATGGTGTCAGAGAAATGAGGCAGATTCTAGAATAAATAATTAGGGGGGAGGGGGCATATCAGGATTTGTACGGATAAATTGTCATGCGATTTGTTAAAACAAATGAAGAATGTACATAAAACGCCTAGCACAGTGCCTGGCATGTAGTAAGCACTCAGTAAATATGAATTTCCTTCCCTATTCCATGAGATAGTCATCATTTCTGGAGAATTTAAAAACTGTGAACTCAGCTGTCATGAAACCTGGAAAACACAAAACAAATTTCCAGATCCTCTTACAAGTGTTGGGAGGTGCTGACAAGATTGGTTTTGCCCATGGCTTTGAGAAAAAAAAAAAAAATTGAAGAGTAGACAAATCTGGGTTTTCTAGGTTATTTCGTGTCAACAGAAATCCATTTTAAAGTGTGAAAAAGCAAAAGAGCTTATTGCTGAGATTAAGCATGTGCTTCCAAGACAATTATTTACATATTTTTGGCAGAAGGGAGAAAAAGTAACTCTGCTTGCCATTTTGGAAAATCAGTTGCTTTTAAAATGGAAAATCTGGTATGTCATATTTTTCTTAGATAAAGCACCTCTATCATCCCATTCCCGCTTCTTAAAAATCTATTGTTATTATTATTTGTTTCAATAAGTGCTCCTCAAAGTTTCTATTAGAATAATAATTTTGTAAAAAAAAACATCCTATAGGCAGTCATTACTACCTATGATAAGTTTCCCACCCTACATAAATAAATGTTATTATTCATATTAATAACCAGTATTAGAGGGCAAGGAAATAGATTATATTTCCAAATTGTGTTGGTATAAAGACTATAATATTTATTAAAATAATTTTCCATGGTACAGTGAATAGCTAGTAATTGCCTCCTTAAATTTACTGTTAAAAGCTATTCATGTTGGAGTTTGAATGGAAAACATTTAGCCAAATACTGGTAGACATTCAGTTTGGCAGATTTAATATCATTCTTAAAATAAATAGAGGATGTTTTACTTGGTTGTGTTTCAGCAGAAGGCTACTGGGAGCAGGGCCCTCATTGTAGGTCTCGTGCCAGTGGGGAAAGAGGAGGTCATGAAAGTGACCGCTCCAAACGCCAGCAAGGATCTTAGCGTCAGCCATCCACTGTTCCAACGGTTCCATAAAAAAGCCAGGAATGTAATGCCATGGCATGATCCACGAGAAAAGAGAGTCGTTTGGAAGCAGAGGGACCAGAAGTACAGTATTTTGGAATACTCTATTTGCCATTCCACTTTGAACAGCCCGAATCGCAAAATGTTGATTGTATTGATCAGATATTACTGATTTTACTGATGTGGAAGAAAGAATAACTAGGATTTTGCTTTTGAAGAGAAATCACTGGCCTTTAAATGCTAATTATGTTTTTGCAACTTACTATACTATTATTCTTGAGCAATAATCTGCTAAGAATGGTAGAAACAGAGGTTAGAGATGATTGATGTCGGGCCAGGTAATAGCGCGCATCCTTAATTGTAAGATTATTAAAAGGTAGACACAAATAGAAGAAAAATAACTTCTGAGTACATATTTTATTGAGAACTTCACAATTGCTCACAATCTTTGTTATTGTTACTGGAAGGGATAAAGGGAAGGAACACTTGCCTTTAATCATTTGTTTTCTGTGTTCATTTCTTATATTTTATTTGATTAATCAACTGTTTACTCATGTAGTTTTTAAAAAGTTCAAAGTTACCTTTTCAATTGTTCTAATGAATTCCTTATATCTGCCCTCGTCTTTTTTTTTTAATTACAGACATTTGTTTATTTTTGTAATCATGCCTTTATTTAAAATTCTGTTAGTTGGAAAGCACTAACAACTTGTCTCAAAATGGCAGATTTCTCTATAACCGGGCACATGTCTAGGCAATAGCTTGTTCTATAAGATAAAACCTGTTTGAAGATACAGTATATGAAAGATATTGTCTGTTTGAGGGTATTCAAACACTTTGTTACAGTTGCCTATTTCAAGTGTTTTCCTTTTCCAGATAAAATTATATATTTATTTTTTTGCTTTAGTGGGGAAAAGGCATATTAGAAATTTCTTTACTCCTATTCATATGTTTGTGTTGAAATTTCTTCAGGAAATATCAGAAGATAATGCTTTCTACATTACCTGTCTTTACTAATGGTAAATTTTGAGCAAATCTTCCTAATTGCTGTTGTAATGTGTATAACTTTATTTAGGGGACACCTTCATCCTTAAAATATATGGATAAGTTATGTAATTGTGAAAATTTAGAAATAAGAAGTTAATAGTATACTACAAACTGGATCTTATTAGTAATGGCTTACATATTGGCTATTTATCAGAGAATGACTTATTTTTGGTGTAAGTTGCATGGTAATTACTGCATATTTGATAATCAGGAGTAGTAACCAGACAAAATTTATGGATAAGCATGTGATTGTTTTTAATCCATCTAATTTTGCTTTAGGAAAGGGAAACCATTTAAAATTGGTACATATGCACATGGATATTTCTTTTAGCCAATGACTAAGCTCTTTGTTACATAATTATGAAGCATGACCTGTGTCATATTAGTGGTCATATTACCTTCATCGTGCTTTTCATAATTTTCCTCATAATTACATGCATCATTTCTTTAATGGTATCTTGTTTGGTTATATAAATAAAAATAATTGAATTTCAATATAAAAACTAATGTAATATGATAAATTTGATTATAATATAGGCAAGTAATTTATATATAAAAGTCAGATATTTTACATATATTCCTGCTGTTCTGACTTCATATGGCTTGTGTCTCCTGGGTTTGCAAATATAATCTCTCATGGATCAGAAAACTAATATTTTATCTTTTCATATCTAAAATAAGTTTTAAACTATGGGAAGCATAGGTACAATAGCTTAAAATAGGGTTTCAAACAGGGTTGAACCAACCAGCACCTCAGATTTTTATTTTATGGACCTTAGAAATAAATATGATAGCAAAAGCAGTTACTATGTGGGTGCCTGACATCATAGATTAAATTAATGTAACATTACATTTTATTTCACAGCACTAGAAACCTCCATTATATGCTGTATTTTATTTTCTGCATATATGCTTTAGTATATTGAATAACTGATACTTCTCGTTTGAGAAAGTGCTGTAGGTGGTAACGTAATTCTATTTGTGCTGCATAAATGAACAGATCCAATAGCAATCAACTGATTTTTGACCTAGCTTCCCAAATATGGCAGATGATTAGCCCATGATTCCTTGCTGGTACCATACAAAATGAAATCCTAGGTGAGTTTGCAGTTTAAGTTGACTCTTAGATTTGACAAAGCATTCTTTTCTGAGGAATTTAGATTGGCATCCTTTCAGGGGGGAGAGGGGGAAAAAATCCATACTGAATTTTGTTCATTAGAAGCATTTTGTTTTGGTTGCATGGGAATGGTGCTTTCATTTACAAATTAGCAAAGAAAAGGTAAGACTGTGTGTATCTGTTTTATTAGTTGATGATCTGGAAATGTATCATAAAATCATTTAAGAATTTACTGTGTTTTAAAAATGTTCTTTGATACCAAAGCATGAGTCTTAAAAAAAAAAAAGGTGCTTTTTATTATTAATAAAACAACTGAATACGTAGAATAGTATTTTCGGTAAAGGTAAAATAGTTTGAAAGAAAGTCCAATGGGTATAAAGATTTTACTTTAGAGTACAAGATTGGTTATGATAAGTGAGTAGTACCAAAATAAACATTTGTATTTGAACTTTGGTATGGAGCTGACAAATTAAAATATAATAGGCACATCAGTGATGCCTTCTTGAAATATTTGAAATCAATATAATGGTTGTCATCGATCTAATAACCAAAGCCATTTATTTACCTAAAACATGATAGTAAGTAAGCATTTTAAACTGAAGCTGTAATTTAGTCCTAATGTGAATAGCTCGACTCTCTAGATAAGTGTTATGGATTATCATAGATTGTGAATTTAGTTAGAATTTTTAAAGAACAAAGTGTAAGGAAAGAGTTCTAGATAAAATAAATATTTTCCCAAAAATGATTTAAAAATAGTAACACTGAAATATTATCTGGTTCATATTCTGCCCCCCCAAAAAATGTTCCTGTAAAACTAGCCATCTAGAAATCATTGCAGAATCATCATTTGGGCTTTCATTGTTAAACTGATAATAGTTTACACGTTTGCTCGTTTTCTCCCCTTACCTACTTACTATATAAATGGCCATTCTCATTTTTAAAAATTTTTCCCAGGCCTGTTAGTTGGTACACTCGGAAAAAAAATTTTTTTTTTGAAAAGTGTTGATTCCCCGAGTTTCAGGGCCTGAAAAAAGTTTTGGAAAAGTATAAAAGATAACGTGTAACTACTCCCAAAGCTCGTAATTGGTAGCTGCTGTAGCAGAAGATGTGTGTTGACAGTGTCTCAGAGAACTTATTCTCACACAGCTGTTTATTCAGATAGCATGGGGCGCGTTCATTTACATAATAAATTTTTTTTAAGCAGCAAGGTTGAGTCAGACGGAGCAGTGCTCCTTTCAATTGTTGCATTTAAACCAATAAGGTTAGAACAAGAGAATAGCTGTGGTTTGCGTTGCAAAAACAAAAAAAGCCCCGAGGCTCCACGGGCAGACCTACAAGGCTGCGCAAACAAATCGAGGGATGAGATTCTGCTGTTTCTTTGTCTAGGGTTCTCAGATGCTATCTGCTGCTGCTGTTTGGTGGGGAAAGAGCGCGGGGCTCAAAGCGGTCACTAAACAGAACGGTGGGAGCTGATGGCTCCGAGTTTGGGGCGAGGTAGAAACTCTGCAGTGCCACTTCCGACTTTAAGCCTTCCTGTTGCCGTCCACTGTGGCGGTTTTCGTTCTGGGGAAAGCGTTTTCGCTCAGTCGCTCGGCAGCCCGAGCCTGCAGCAGCGGCCAGGCGGCTGTCCCCGCGGCCGGGCTTCCCCCTCCAGAGGCGCCCCGCTTCCAGCAGCGCCGAGCTCCACTGGGAGCGCCTAAAAGCCCTCACGCGTCCTTATCCAGGAGCAAAACTGCGTAAGGAATGGAGGTCTGCTAAACCAGAAAATTCGAAGGAGCACATTAAACTGGTGGATGCAGCAGATGTAAGCGCTGTAAGTACAAGCTGACTGTTTGAAAAATTGTAGTGACTGACAACAGCTGTCCTGTGGGCAAAGCCCAAGTTAACAGGAGCACTTTTTAGTATTGTTTTGATTTGTTTTGGAATAAAAACATTAGGGCACGGGCACGATTCTGACACTTTGTACGCAGTGCGTGATTAGCCACAGGGTTCTATCATAAAAGTATAATTCTTAACCCCCAAATGATCTGAGCGATTAGCATCATTAAGAGATAATTACAGATTAATTGTTAACAATTACCGTTGTTGTGATCGATATAAATATAACACACGGCTATATTCTTGTAGGGAGATTACTTCATATCGCTCCTGAATTTCTGCACAAACCTCAAATATTATTGTGATATTGAATAAAGCGAGAAATACGTATATTTAGTTCTCCATTGCAACACAGATAACTTTTCCTCCGCACCTCTGGTTGATACGAGAAAATGAGGAAGGAATTAAGATTTTGAAAGGACAAGAGATAACAAAAATCAACTGATACCACTTTTTAAGGAAGGAAATCCTTTTGCTTCAATAAACAAATTTCCCAAACGTTATATTAAACAGGCTCATCTTCAAAAGGTGAAATAATAAACATTTGCTTATTGACACTTCATATGACTTGAATGGACCTTGAAATTTAAAACAAGATTCTTGAATGACCATTTAAAGTATTTGTCATTCAAAATCAGTATATTGCTAATGACTCATGGGCTTATATTTCTTGGGAGGAGTTTTTGAACACATTTAAGTAGCTTTTGCAAGAATTCAATAAATTCAGACCTGTCATTGAATTTAGACAAGAGTTTTTATGTTGTATTTCTTACAATGACAAGGGGTACAAAAAGTTTGGCAGTTAAGCCCAAAGTGTAGTTTTATAGGGTTGGGGTTGTTTTTTTTTTTAATGTGTCTTTCAGAATAGGTTTTATTTTAGGCTTCTGTGAGTTTTTTCGCCCACCGTTTGGAGGTTTGAGGACATGCATACATGAATAGTCATGCTTTTTTTGCATTATCAAATATTTGATATTTGACTTTCTCGCTGCTTGAGTTCTTCTAAGGCCCAGAGTGTTCAGTAAATGAGCAAACAGCCATGGGTTCTCAATCCTGAAAATTCTTCGCGGTGACAGAGAAGCCTAATTGAGCCACTGTTCAGGTTTTGAGTGCCCAAAGGAAGTCAACTGCTATGTGAGCTTCGTAGACATGATAAATGATTTTCTCAAAAGAAAATTTTCATTTGAACGCGAAAATTCATATTAGAATACAATGGAAAGAGGAGAAACACTTGCAGTGAGAATAAAACCCCTTCTTCCATTTAATCAGATAGCAAAGGTATTTCATTCAACATTATGAATGAATGCTAATTTTGAAAACAATCTTTTAAAACTATGGTTGCATCAAGTGTCGTTTAAATGCTTGTTTTTTGTTTTCACGGGGACTCGATTTTGTCATTTTCTTCAAACGAGGAAGTTTGAAATACAGCATGTTACATTAAAATAAGTAATAGTATTGGAGCATTCATTTTATAGTGATAAAGCAGGAAATAAGTGTTAACATGTAAAAGACATCTACCTCTTCCTAGAAGTTCATTTTGATTTTAGGTTCAGGTTTTTATTACAGCATTGACACCATAGTTAGAAATATTGATTGAGGAAAATTTTAGCAAGAATATATTCTGATTAAAAAGCAGATTTATGCCTAAAGCTCACTCTTATAAAATACATTCTGATTAGAAAATTGCCATTGTCTTTCAAATTTGGGAGTACTCAGGTTGATCTGCGGTTGGGCAAAACCAGCTTGCCTGCCAACTCTATTTATTTAGATAAGTTCAGTACTTTCACTTTGAAAATTTCATTTTAGTTTGGGGGAAAAAGTTTTAAATTATAGTCATTTTATAAAAATTGCTTCTAGCAAGCAAAAAAGCCTATGGAAAACCCATAATTTAGACAAGTACCTACATTTTATTTGCTCTGTGCTGCTGAGATTTAGAATCCCTTTCCATTTACAGTTTACTTTTCACAGAACATTATTAACTTTTTGGCTTCATACATGATCTTCTGTCAGATGCTTTTGATTTGTAATTTAGCAAAGTATAATAAACAGTGCAAAAGTCATGAATTTTGCTCTGCATCCTGAGCTCTGTGGTAGGGAAAATGTGATAAAATGTGTACCTTAAGTCTTGTTTGATGATCTCTCAAAGCAAGTTTGCCTTCTGGAAATAATTTCTGGGGTTGAAGAGCATGGTATTAACAGATTTAATGTGGCTATTCAATGGATTGGCGAAGTACTATGTGAGGTTTAACAAAATGAGAGAGACAAATTGAACATCAACAAAAGTTACATCTGTGAAGAATTATAAATTTAATTAGAAAAAAAGGCAAACTTAAAAGACCTCATTAACTAATCAGAAGTCAAAGTTACTCGTTTAGAAATCTTGAATTTAAATTCTACGAAGTTCTATCTTTTTTTCTCTTTGTATTTTTGCAACTCAGTATGCTGCGGTGGGTATTCTATGCAAAGAGTTTTAAAAAGCATTAAAGTGAAGTGACTTCATTGTAATAGAAGATGACTATTTGTAATGTTATGGGAAATATTTTTGTACTCATAGGAACATTTGAATTAAAAATACCAGATTAGAAGAAGACAAGAAACATACTAAGTTTATCGATGTGAAGCAGAAAATGTGAGCTTACTGAATGCCTAACAGCATTTTGCTGAAAACCATGAAATAATTTTTTTCTCTTTTTGAATAGGAATATGCCTAATTAATGATTTTTGAAACACCTTATGCTCTTAGACCTCTAAAACCCAGAAACTTCCAGAGATATTGTCAAACATAAGAGAAAATCAACACCAATCAGAAATAGGTGTTCTTTTCAGATAAGTCATTATTAAGAGTATGTTTCCTTACTGGACTGTAATCTTGTACTACACATAAAAAACTAAAAGCATGTGAAGTGTAGCATTTTGTAAACTGTAACTAATTTTGCTCACATCTGTGTCTAATTGTTGTCTGCATTCACATTCTTGAGAGTAGATTTATTTTTCCTGGACCACGATGTGGATTCAGCTGACCAGCCTAAGTGAGGATTAGTTGTTTTAAAGTTATTTTGATTAAAGAGTCATTTTTAAATACAGTAACACACAACACATGGTTTAAATAATCCTTGAGACACAAAAGAATATATCTGAAGTATACTTAATGAAATGAAGATCATGGATATGGGCTTTCAAAAATTGTAGTGTATGAAAGTACAGTACAGATTGAGTCAGGCCAGCATTAAAAAAAAAATGCTGTTGTGCAAATGCATTTTTTTCAGTGAGAAAACGTGTTAGAATAATTCTTATTTTTAAGTTTGACCTAAGACCTTATTTTGAAGTTCATTTTTAAGTTTGACTTTGAAATTTAATTAATGATAGGTTAAGCCACAAATATAAGTATAATCAAACTTTCAAAGTACACAATGAAACTAAAATTGTATTTCCAAGATTATACTATCTAGCCAATGTTAAAATAGGAATGTATTTTAACGTTTAACAGAAAGTGTGTTTTACGTACTCTTTCCCATAATTGGGCCAAGAGAGTTCTTAAAACTAAGTTAGTTCTCACCTATAATTTATTCCAGGTGTATAAAAGCAGGAAAAAAAGGGGGGGGAGGAAATTTATCCTTGAGATAGATTGCTGCAGTTTCTAAAGGAAAACATTTAATCTTGCGTGAGAACATTACTTTTAGCAAAAACTGCGGACGCCTGCTATCACAAAATGACATATCGGCAGGCATTAAAATTGCATTTTCACTTAATACTTAGGCGTCTCTTAATTATTTTTTCTCCTGCACATATTCTAGAAACACATACCTAGAAATTTCACATAATCTTACACCAAGATATTCAGACTTTAACAATGCGCTGTTCTTGCCAGAAAGGTAGAATTTCTTAATTTCATGAATCATAATTAAAAAATGACAGGACTCAATAGCAGATACTCGGTTGGATCACTTTAATGCCATTGAGATGCTTCAGTTCTCATCTTTGTTCTGTAGCCCTAATTGATGTCAGTTCAGGTTGAATGAAAATGCACATCAAAGATTTGGAATTCTGAGTCATTTTAAGCATTTTTCAGAATGCTCTTTCCCGGGAGGCGTTAGCCTGAGCTTGTCAACCAGCAGCCCACCCTCACCTGAGCTTATCACCTGCTGGTCGTTTGCACTGCCTCTGGAGGAAGGGCAGGGACTAGCAAAGCCTGCACGTTAACTTAGTTGATTCATCTGGAGACAAAAGGCACCAAAATGCTGGCTAACTGGGACATTGAATTGATTATTAAGCTATCCATTCTCTCGGTTGGTTCAAACGACAGAAAATTAAACGGAAAGCCAACTGCTTTTTCTGTTTGAGCAGGCAATGGCAAATAAGCATTCGCTGAATTTTAAATTCGCACGAATAAATGAGCACATCGCTCAATGATGTGATTTTTGGGTCTGAAAACTTGCCTTTGCCATCTTTGGTCAGCCCAGCATTGCCCGAAAGTTGCCCAGAAGCCGTTTCGGTAAATGTCAAATGGCATATAGTCCATATAGGGAGAAAACTATCATGATAAGGATAGGAAACTGTCAGGAGTCAAAGGGATGGGCGGGAACTCTATTTCAGCTGGGGCTAGCAGAAGATGAGAGATCTTCCGAGGATGCTGGAGGATTACTTCTTGAACTGCTGTGAAACACACTCATTTTGCTAATAGCTATTTTTTTCCAAGCACCTTTTCCAAGCTGCCTGGGCAAGGCTGCTTTGCATGTTGATTGGGGGAGGGGTAATCCCGTTTGCAGCTGTCATAGGCCAGTGATGAATCACTATCCCGTCATTTGGCTGCCTTCCCCCCTGACAAGGGGAGGAGGAGGGTAGACCTGCAGGAGGAAACAACAGTGGAGACCTCAACTTAAAGACAATATGCCTTTCACTGCTGCAGTATCCTCCTTTTTCTCTTTTGGTTAAAAGAGAGCATTGTCGTTCTCAGCCATGTGCTCTGTATAATTAAGAGCTGACACTGAAGCAGACTAACAACAGCTTCTAATTTCTTACCCCTGATCACAGGTGCAGACATCTCAAACCAGTTCAGATGTTGCTGTTTCCTCAAGTTGCAGGTAAGGATATTTGACATTTTTGGAGATTACCTTTCTGTGACCCATATCTATTTTTGTCTAGGATTTCTTAATTATTTCTATTAATAGCAACAGCCTCTGTTGGAAATTACTTAACAATTTGTGTGTGTGTGTGTGTGTGCGCTTGTAAAAAAAAATGTTAAGTATGTAGAAAGGGAATAGGAGCCCGGGTTTGAAAATGATTATGGGCTATAGTTTCTGGTGTTAGGTAAACTGTGAATGTGTAATGTGGATTAGGAGAGAAAAGTTGGATTGTAAGCCATTTCTAGTTTGGATTTAGATTTGGGGAAGTAAAAACTCACTTTAGAAGTTACATGGTTCCTATTAAGCTGTTTTAAAAACTATTTACAGTAAGTTTAAGTGCAACCTCTAAATTAAAATAACTAGCTTTTGTTGACCTGGTTGGGCGGGGGGGAGCAGAAACAGTTTTCACTTCAGTGGAATATTAATACCCCCTCTTTTTTTTTTTTAAGAAAAACACAGAAGTTTAAAATAAAGTGAATGGGCAATAATTTTTTTTTAAAAAATCGCAGAAGGGTATCTAGGTGTGTTTTGACTCGCTTTAAATAAAGCCCCTCCTATTAATAGAATATTAAATATAAATGGCTAGTCCTGCAATTGTGACCATGAGGAGTGGCTTCTATACCATAATCTTCTAGAATAAGTAACTACTGAGTCTGAGAACTTTGGTGGGGGGAGGACTTAACTGTTTCTTTATGGTAAAAATGCGAAATTGCTGCATTGAAGTAGAATTGTTATTTCCCTGAATAAGTGACAGCTGAGGTATTCCAAGTGCTAATGCTCCCAGGGACTGACTGTATGTTGGCCTTATCCCTTTTCAATTGGGCACGCTGTATGTAATCCACAAAGCAAACAAGTGAGCCGACATCATAATGTTTTAATGCTGCATTTGTTTCAAGGGAAACAGAGGAACAATTAAGCAGTTTGCCAGAGTAAACACATGCATCAGGACTATCTCTTTCCCTGTCACTACACTATAGGCTTCACGTGTTTTATTTGGTTTGGAGACCCATTAAATTACAATTGGGTGGTAAATTATAAGGGAGTACCTAGGGCTAATTTATTAGATGAAACAGATTCCATAGAAAAGTGATTTTTTTCCTATTATACCTGTTTACGTATTTCTTTTACAAAAATCATGCCTCTTTTTTTCAATATAAAAAGAAAAGCGTGACTGCATTTTTTTTCTTTGAAAATTAAAATAGATGCAACTGTCTCGTTGTGATTTGATGAGCTGTGTAAGAAAAAAAAAAGATTTTCAAAGTGCCCTGTGAATGTTTGGTTGGATAGGTAAGGCAAACGATACCTTCGAGTACCACATGTTATGAAAGCATGACTGAAGTTAAAACCAAGTAAGATGAACTATTTGGAGTCTAAGAAAATAGATACAATGGGACTTTTGTGTGAATGTGTTTCAAAGGTGTCAAGTCGTTAGCACATTAATAGTGTTATGAATTTGGTACATCTGTCACACGGAAGGCTTCTTGTCTTTAGGTCTATGGAAATGCAGGATCTAACCAGCCCGCATAGCCGTCTGAGTGGTAGTAGTGAACCCCCCAGTGGTCCCAAACTCGATAACTCTCATAGAAATAGTAATTCCATGACTCCCAATGGCACCGAAGGTGAGTGTCTGCCTTCTCCCTGTTTCCTTCGCACCTTGTTTCTTTGTCAGGATATGCTTTGTTATTGGGTGGTTATGATTTCAGTTGTCAAACCCATGAAGCTACTGTTCTAGTTCCCCTTTAGCTAATTTGACTTGTGAATCAGCATTCATCCTCAGTGAGGAGCTGCACAGGACTAAATTATTATAACACAGACTGGTTTTATCTGGCACAAATGCATACGTATGTATCATCTATACGTATTATATGCATGTGTGCATAACATTTCTAACCTTTGAGTGTTTTTTAGCTCCTTGTTGATCATTCTCCAGAGGACAGTATCAATTTGCATGGTTTTACTCTATGAGCAGTGAAAATTTGGAAATATTTCCTTAATTTTACTTTCCCTTTTGTTATTAAATATAACAAAATTTGCTTAAATGTAACATTTGACTGGACTGTTTCTAAATAACCATAAAATTGTGTGCCTGATGTTCTTGTGGCTATGACCATTAAAATACAAATAAGTAAAAAAAAAACCAAAAAACTTGTTTATAAATATACAGCCTTATTAGGAGGTACGTGAAATTTATTTACTTTCTTAAAGATTAAATAGTACACATTAAACATAGTACTGTTACAGTTATTTTGTATAATGATACATATGAATATGTAAATTTTATGCAGATATATATTTTAGCCCATATATTCCTAAGTCTACACATGTAAGCAAGGCTATCCCTATGTATTGTTAGCTGTTATGCATACTTATGTAGGTACTACGTATAATTTTAGAACTTCAACATATGGAGAGATATATTACATATTATATTGTATTTTTCTAATTTAGCCTATTGAAAAATTTCTTCACAGATATTTTTTGCTTGTTCCTTACTAAGCCTCAGACCTTAATGAACTTAGAGCATAAGTTTCACTAGTTCAATGAATTATCCATGTTAGAATTCTATCCATAAACAAAACCCTTAACCATCATTTCCCAATCACCACGGTGATCTTTTATCACAGTTCTTAAAAGATAAACAAAACTAAATGCCATATAATTGTTTGGTGCAGTATTCCAGTGTGTATTGATGAGGCCTTTTGAAACTAGTAATGTTATGAAATTTCTGATAATAGAAAAAATATAAAGTAAGTTGTTTCTGATATTAGACATCTTAATTTTTATACCGACAGTGATTATTTTTAATGTGTCAATAGTCTGTAGTTTACTCTTTGAGTAAATTCATTACCAGTGTTTGTGAAAAATGGTCACTGTCAAAAGTAGAAACTTTGCTGATCTAGCCAAAAAAAAAAAAATCTCTGGATAAGGTGGCTTCTCATCTGAAACTCTTTCCATTTTGATAGGTGATCAAAAAGAAATTGGAATGATTTTTAGGAAAGCAATTCCGGTATTTAAGTAGATTTTTATAGAGCCAATAAAAAAAAAATCAAGCAGTCCTTTATTCTCTCTTTTGGAATTTGGCTTCAGGGGGCAGCTGCCCTGTGTAGGTGGGATGTGTACAGCTTCCTAGGTTGGTGGGCCCCACGCCGGTGACCTCGTGCAGGTAGCTGCTGACAGGAGGGTCAGAGGGGGCCATGGGTGCAAACCTTAGCCATTCTCCTGACTGAGAAGTCCAAAGAAGACAATCATTTAGAGGAACTTAAGAATGAAGAAGACCAGGTTAAATCATTTTTGCACTAAGCATACATTTTGCACGGAACCATAATACATATGGGTAGGAGCAATTATGAAATAATGATAGTTAATTTATGTATGAAGAAATGAAATGGGGGTAAGGCATTTACATTTTGTCATCATTTACTGGCAGATCGTCTCCTACAAAATAAGAACCACGTAATGTTGAAATAGACTGTGTGTTAGGGACTGCCCCCTAGGAAGGCTTTGTGAGAATGATGTGTGGCTTGTTTTTTAAAGGCATGTGGAGTGGTTAGATTATTTCTAACAGTTCACATTTAATGGCTTGGTATCAGGTCCATATTCAAGAATATGTATCTTATACAATTTTTGCATAACTGAAATTGCTCAAAATACAATATTTTACATAACTGTGGAATCTGCTGAGCCAGTCAGTCTGGTAAATAGTTAGAAATTACTACTTATCAAAAAAAAATTATCTTAGGTCTTGGAAATGAATTTTTCAGACCTATTTCAGACAAATGCAGTTACTCATCTCACTTTGTTTGTAGGCATCATTCCTGGATGTACTTTGCAAGGGTTATGGTAATTAGAGAGGGAAGTGAGAAGATACCAATATAAATTATCCAAAGAATAAAGGGAATTTTGGTCAATGCACTGGGGATATCCAGTTTTATTTTAGTATATAGTTTGGAAATATGGATGCAAATTTCCTTCATGATCCATGTTACATGCCTGTTTAGATGCAAACTATATCAGCAAGTTCTGGGTTATTATTAAGTTTGTGAATCAATTCATCATGCTGCTTACGTGTTCCGTAATGCATCTGTTTCATTGCCCTCCGTCACCACTAGAGGAGTGAAGCTTAAAATGAGCGAACTAGTGTCTGGCAAGCTTCTCTGGGATATAATCGTTACAGATTTTCCTTGTACTTCTTTGAAAATCTTACTGATTTCGAAACCAGCACTGTTTACCAATGAATTAGAAGCATGCAAAACAAGAAACTCATTTAAATTTAAGAGCACATTTGAAATAGTCATCATCTCTCCTACCTCTGTAACAAGTATCTCTAGCTATATATGCCATGATTTATACTTAGGTGACTCCACTTCAGCTTCGTTGAAACGAGCTTCCTTAATGAGGTCAACAAAACTTCCATTTAGTTTACACAGTTGTTGACTTTGCCGGCGTTTCTATAGGTTGTCTTCTCTCTCTCTCTCTCAGCAATTTTTTACTTCCTGCCACCACTTGTCCCTATAATGAGGCTAAGAAAACATGAAAATCTCCTTTATCAAAAACCATAACTTCATCTGAAGAACAAACAAGAAGGGAATGGAATGGAGAGGCAGAGAATATTAAGTTTCTTCTTAAGTCTGCTGCCAAATTATCATAAGACTCAATGTTTGTAGGTTCTGTCCTCACAGGCTAGTGCCCATTTTCATGGTTCATCTAAGGGATAAAGACAGAAAGACACTGATCTACAGCCCCCAATACTGTGCTTTTTTATTTCCTAGATGAAATAAAAAAGTTAGAATAGTTGTTTGCATGTTTCATATTTCAAGTTTCAACTATTCGTATTTTATGTTCTATTCCAACCTCTCTGAATTGTTATTGTAGTTAACTGTTGGTTTCACACACTTTATAAATCCTTGAGATAGAAAGCATAGAAAGGTAAAAATACAAAACAGTAGCAAGAATGAATGTTTGCGTTGCTCTGAAAAAAGCACTGTTAGAAGTGATATATTTCCAAGTGAATTAACAAATATTTTAGCTACTATTAAATACTTAAGGCTTGATTTAGGGGAGACTAATGGATAGTTATGAAAACACCAATTGTGGCTTTCTTTTAACGTTTTGCCTATTTTGAGAGGAGGCAGTTAGTCTTCCAAGATAGGATGGAATAGAAATTTCTTATTAGAGAGATTGTAAAAGCATCATTTTTAAGACCTACACTTCTTGGTGGTGATGCTCCCCTAGATCCATATTAACGTGCTGAATCTGAAAGGATTTCTGATGTGTGGATTTAGGTTCAAGGCTCTATTTGGTGGAGGCTGTGTGTTGATGTCTGTGTTGTGTAAGTGGGAGAAGTAGCTGGGAAACCTTCCTTCGGAAGGACTCAGGGCCATAGCAGGAAAAGGATTTTTATTTACGTACCTAATTAAGGCCTTGTTTGAAAAGCAGTGATTCTTTCCATCTTTGTTTTTCCTGGTTGTCTTACGTCTATGGGAGCCTAAGATTGGTTAGTTCATATATTGCTAGTTTGATTGTTTATTTTTGGTTGTCTGGGGATGAAGAGTGGGGAAGGGCGAAAAAGAGGTGTGAGCAAGTGGAACTAAGAGCTCTAATTCTGAGTTTTTCTCTATTGTAAATTTAGCTCCAAACTCAAAAAGAAGCTTAACCTTGTCTTAAAGTAGATGAATTTGCCTTTATGTGACATAAAACCAGACGCAATTAGAATCCTCACTACAAATAGGGTTTCAGGAATTCTGATGGTAATTCAAATAGTAATTTTGAATTGGTATATCAGATTTCCAAGATGATAAGAGATACAATCTTGAATTAGGTAGCTAAATTTTCTGCATTTTAAAATTTATTTAATTTTATATTGCATATTTTAGGAGGATAGGTTAATTCAATTTTACAAATTTATATTATCAGAAGCTATTTTAAAGTTTTATCATTTCTACAAAGCTTAGAACACTAACAAATTATCTGAATTTGTTTTTCTCACTGTAATGTGAATTTAGTAAAATACAGTTATATCCAACTAGAGTATTTTTAAGAAATCTTATTTACAAGAAATATGTAAACCGGAATGAATGTGTATAAAATTATGGTTTGAGGCTGCATTTTAAAGGCTACATTTGCATATTTGTGGTCAAATATTCTGTTGTCAATAGAAACATGGTAATCTAATTTTATTGTTTACATTCTGCACATGATGTACTATCTGGAAGGTTAGGGAGGGAGCACTGCGAGTAAAAAGATTTCTAACTGACATTTTTAAAGTCTGCCTGTAGCCCCATAATTGGTCTCTTATAAATTGTTCTCAAGCAAAAGCCATGAAAGAATGAGCAAAATATTTTTTGGATTTGTTATTTGCCTATATTGTGTATGAGAATAGTTTCTACATGCCTATTAATAATAATAATGGCTAATGTTTATAAATAACTTATTGTTAGTCATTATGCTGACCGTTCTCCATGATTTGTTTCATTAATCTTCAGAAAATTCCTGACCTACCAGCGTAATGGTTAAGAGGCTGGGTCTGCCTCCCAGCTCCACTCTTTACTAGTAGTGTTTGCTTCCGTTAGGCTCAGTCTCCTCATCTGTGAAATGAGGATAATAGCAGAACTTATCTCAG